GATTCGACCGTTAACGGTCGAATCTGGGTCGACTGTTGCCCAAGTGACAGTACAGCCGAAATTGTAAAGTGAGGATATTTTTGATTTTTTCCACATAAAGCTATATTTTCGCCTTTTGTTTTTTTTTTTTTTATATTCTATATCTTGGTCATAGGTCACTTTGGAAATATGCAACAGTGAAAAGGTTATTTCCATGTATTTTCTCCCTCCCTGCGCAGTGCGCCTGTGCGACCGTTGATTTACAGAAGGTGAAGCCGTAAACTGTAAAGCCTAAGGAGTAAGGAATAATCAATTTTCTTGAGGGGTATCCGCCTATCCGGGTATGTTTCTTGATTCCATGAGAGATTCTTGTTTCCAGCTTTACTAGTTTACTAAGATTCTTGTGGGTTGTGGTTGCTGGTTTGACATTGGAACAAGTGCAAATTTCTAATGCCTGCCTTTTTTGTTTCTGGGCAGTTGGGTCTCATGCTCTACTGCTTAAACTTGTTATGAGATGTAGATATGAGAGAACTGTATTCGTTTTGCACTACCAGGAAACAATATATTGACTTGAATTTTGTAATTTTTCTGTAGAATATTGGATTGTTGTGTTGAAATTGAAAAGTGATAAGAACATTTGATTCTTAAGAGAAACTCTGCTGATCTTGACTCTTCAGGATGAAATTTGAAACTTTTTACTGATCTATTTTGGAAAGAATGAATTTGGAAGCTGAGATTTGTGGGTTTTGTTTCTTTGATCACTACATGTTAGCTTTGCCATTGGACTTTGATTGTTAGCTGATAAGGTTATACTTATAGTGATGCAAAGCCAGGCAAACCAATATTAAGTGATGCAAAGTCATCATCATCAGAAACTTCAACATTTGAGTTGTTATTCTTGTGCATTTTAGAACCTTTGGCAAAACTCACATTGCCCATGCCACCATTGCACATCTTCTTATCATTCTGATCCAGATGCATTACTGTTGCCGGCCCAATCCTCCCAGTCACTACAACATTTTTCCTTCGTAAAATCATGAGCTTCATGTTGAGTCCTGGATTCATCTTTGGAAGGTGAGAACTGAGTAAAAACTTCAATTGGTGAAGTACGAGCTGATTCTTTCAATATGAATTAGCTAAGCCTTCACTAGTACTGTCTATTTTCTCCACCTTCACAATTCTATCTGTAGAAGGAGATTGTTGAGAATAATCACATGAATCAAAATCAGGCGTACCAGGAATGTCCCAGGGGTCCAAGGATCCAGAAGATTTCTTCTCAACTGAAGAAGGAATTTCACCTTCTAAAAGATGAATTACAGTACCAATAGGAACAGGAACAACTTACCATATACACACACAGACAAGTTTTCAGTCGGCATTCTTCCTTAATTTATAAGCTCTACAAACAGATGGGAGCTGAAACCTAACAAGATGAACTTATAAGTATAACCTTATCAGCTCCATTGGACTTTGATTGTTAGCTTAATTGTGTTAAAAAGATTGTGTGACCTTTTTTCCTAATTGATAACATCTTGTGGGTTACCTATTAAAATAACTCAAATTATACCTTTTATGGATAAATGATCTTCTTCCTTTTAGTACAATGGAATAAAAAACCTAATGCCATTGGTTTTGTCAACCTTTTTCTGCCTTGCTCGTGTTTAAAATTTTCGTATGCAAATCACATGTGAAGTTGTCCCCTGTATAGTAGCCAATTTCAAAGTTTTCCGTGATCCATTGTTTATATTTGTAATTTGCATCAACTAAATTTCATACAATAAGGTTCAGAATTCGTTTCTAATTTGTATATGTTTTATAATTTGCAGTGTAATGGAGAAGATTCAAGTTGACTCTATAATTACAACAAGATGTAGACTGCAGGTAGTACAAGATGTTTATGACAAACTAGATACAAATTACTAAAATGGCGGAAGAAATTGGCTGCAGAGTTATTGGCTTGGAACTTCGAGCCTTAGATTGGATTTTGATATATGTATTGATATTTTGAAAACATTTTGTGGCTGGACCATGTTCTTTTTGCTAGAGTAGTTGTTATTCCTATAAATATCTATTCCTGGGATGTTGCCTAACCATTAGTTAGTGCATTTTGATAATTGTAATGATTATGGATATTGAATATAATTGAGATTTACATATCTTTCAAGTTTACATATTGTACACGTCCAGGGTGTTAATATACTGCATATTTACGTAACGATGTGATCTTCGTTCATGTGGCACAGAGTATTTCATGTCGTTTAATTACAAAAATGCATTCATTCGGAAAACGATATTGAAAGCGTTCTTAAAACACAAAACGATTGCGATATCGTTTTAGTGCACACTGCTTCCCTGAAAAACTATAACAACATTGATATCGTTCCTATGTTACAAAACGATATCGATGTCGGCTCGATACAAAAATTGCACTCAATAACATAACGATATTGAAATCGTTCATGAAATAAAAAACGATTTGGATATCGTTTGAGCGTAAAATACATACTGCTTCCCTAAACAAACTACAACGACATTGATATCGTTCATATGTTACAAAACGATATCGATGTCGTTTCCATTCAAAAATTGCATTGATTAGCATAACGATATTGAAATCGTTCCTGAAACAAAAATGATTTACATATCGTTTCAGCATGAAAAACGCACTGCTTCCCTGATATTCATAACGATATTGATATCGTTCTTGTGTAAAAAACGATATATTTACCGTTCTAATGATATCAATGTCGCAAAAATAATACTGAAACGATAATGACATCGTTATGTGTCAAATTCACGAAATAACATAACAACTTTCATTTCGTTTTAGTACAAATTTGACGAGTTAAAAATTGTTTTAATTCAAATCATAACTATAATGACATAGATATCGTTTCTTTTCATAGAAACCGATAATTATATCGTGCTGGCTAAAACAACGATTCGACCTTCCACAACCACCTGTCATGTCTTCAACATACATATGACGATTGAAATAGGTCATCAAATGGGTTGATACCACTCGAATAACTTAGAAAGACGGAACAGATCGTCGATTTTATGCATAACGACATCCATGTCATTCTCTGTGAACTGAAACGATATCGATGTCGTTTTAGCGTAGGTTTCAACCGAAACGAGTTCGACCTCGCTAAATTTGTACTGAAACGACATGTTTGTCGTTATGTTATTTAGTGGGTTTGGTACATAACAATACCATTATCATTTTATTACAAATTCGATGATATTGATATCGTTTCAGGACAAATTATAACTAAAACGACATATATCTCGTTTCAGTTTGTATATAACGATATTTATATCGTTTCTGCCAAAAATGACGATTCGACCGGCCACGACCCCCCGATATGCATTCGACATATATAGAACGATCGAAATAGTTCATCAAGTGGGTTCGATCTCACTAAAAAGAAACTATAAGAACATTTGTGTTGCCATGATTGTATCCAACCTTCGATGTTTATTTAGTCATCAGAACACAAATATTCTCATAGTTTTTTTTGAGTGAGATCGAACCTACTCGATGACCTATTTCGACCATCCTACATATGTCGGATGCTTGTCGAGTGATCGTGAACGGTCGAATCATCATTTTTAACAGAAACGATATAATTATCGTTTTATATAAACTACAACGATATATATGTCGTTTTCGTTATGATTTAAACTAAAACAATATCAATGTCGTCAAAATTGTACTCAAGCGATATGGACATCGTTATGTATCAAATTCACAAAATAACGTAACGACGTCCATATCGTTATAGTACAAAATTGACGAGTTTGAAACCGTTCCAGTTCAAATAATAACTACAACGACATATATATCGTTTCTTTTCATGCAAAACGATAATTATATCGTTTTGGCTAAAAATAACGATTCGATCATCCACAACCACCCAACATGCCTTCAACATACGTAGGACGATTGAAAAATGTCATCAAGTGGGTTGATGTCACTCGAATGACTTCGAAAGAACGAATAAAGATACTTTCTTTCTATCGGAATAGTTTGAAGGTTGTATATGGTCATGAGAACACAAATATTCTCATAGTTTCTTTTGAGTGAGATCGAATCACTTGATGACCTATTTCGATTGTCTTACATATGTCGGATGCTCGTCGAGTGATCATAGACGGTCAAATCATCATTTTTAACAGAAACTATATAATTATCATTTTATATAAACTACAACGATATATATGTAGTTTTAGTTATGATTTAAATTGAAACGATATAAATGTCGTCAAAATTGTACTCAAATGATATGGACATCTTTATGTATCAAATCCACAAAATAACATAACGACGTTCATATCGTTTTAGTACAAATTTGATGAGTTTGAAACTGTTCCAGTTCGAATAATAACTACATCGACATATATATCGTTTCTTTTCATGCAAAACGATAATTATATTGTTTTGGCTAAAAATAACGATTTCATCTTAAACGAGTTCAAACTCGTCAAATTTGTTCTAAAACGACATGGATGTCGTTAAGTTATTTCTTGGGTTTAACGCTATAACGGTATCGTTGTCGTTTGATATGAAAGGAAACGATATACGTGTCGTTGTCGTTATGATTTTAGATGAAACGATATGGATATCGTTTTCAATGAAAGCAAATGATATCAAATTCGTTTGAGTTGTTATTTCAAGTGTAATGCTACAACAATATCATTGTCGTTTGATATGAAAGGAAATGATATAAGTTTCGTTTTAATTATATTTTAGATGAAACGATATGGATATCGTTTTTAATGAAAGAAAATGATATCAAATTTGTGATAGTTATTATTTGAAGTGTAACGATCTCGAAATCGTCAAGTTTGCACTGAAACGGTTTGTATGTTGTTATGCTATGTCGTGACTTTGACATTACAAAGAAAATATTAGTAAAGCAGTGTGAATTTAATACTGAAACGATATAGAAATAGTTTTCTTTTTTTCAGGAACGACTTCAATATCATTATGTTAACCAGTGAAATTTTGGTATTAAAACGATATATATATATATATATCGTTTTGTGACACAGGAACGATATCAATGTTGTTATGACAATCAAGGAAGCAGTGTGTATTTTACACTGAAACGATATCCAAATCGTTTTGTCTTTCAGGAACTATTTTACTATCGTTTCAATAATCCGTCCAATTTTTGAATGGAAACGACATCGATATCGTTTTGCGACACAGGAACGATATCAATGTCGTTATAGTTTGTTCACGGAAGCAGTGTAGTCGTTATGAAAATCAAGGAAGCAGTGTGTATTTTACGCTGAAATGATATTCAAATCGTTTTCTTTTTTAAGGAACGATATCAATACCGTTTCAATAATCCGTGCAATTTTTGAATGGAAACGACATCGATATCGTTTTGTGACACGGGAATGATATCAATGTCGTTGTAGTTTGTTCATGGAAGCAGTGTGTATTTTACGCTAAAACGATTTCAATATCGTTTCAATAATCCATGCAATTTTTGAATGGAAACGAAATCGAAATCATTTTGCGACACAAGAACGATATCAATGTTGTTGTTGTTTGTTTAGGGAAGCTGTGTGTGCTGAAATGATATCGAAATCGTTTTGTGTTTCAGGAACGATGTCAATATCGTTTTTCGAATGAATGCATTTTTGTACTTGAACGACATGAAATACTCAGTACCACCTGAACGAAGGTCACGTCGTTACGTGAATATGCAATATATCAACACCCTGGACGTGTACAATATGTAAACTTGAAAGATGTGTAAATTTCAATTATATTCAACATCCATAATCGTTACAATTATCAAAATGCATTAACTAAAGGTTAGGCAACATCCTAGAAATATCGACATTTATAGGAATAACAACTACTCCAGCAAAAAGAACAAGGTCCAGCCACAAAATGTTTTCAAAATATCAATACACATCAAAACACAATCTAAAGCTCGAAGTTCCATACTTAGGTTTCAATACCAGCTTGGACCGTGCAAGTGGATCAGACATTACCAGTTTTCTTGCACCTACTGCACTTACGAGGCGTACGCATCTTTTCGCTGATCTTTTCCTCTTTTTGGCTGGTCGTCCACTCTATCTTCATGCCAATGGTGGAAATACTTTTTGAGCCATCACATGTTTAGGAATTCTCCATTCGACCTCATTTGGCAAAGGGTATACGAATGCAGAATATGCTTGCTTCCAACAACTAGTAGTATAAAAAGGGCTACATAGGTTATTGCATCATCATTGTCATGGTTACTATCGTTGTCTATTCTAACACGTTCCTCTTCGTTGTTCATATTTGCAATTTGTTCTCCACACTTATTAGTGATAAACGTCCATCATCACCAAACTCTTCTTGATTTTCAAC